TCCTTTCTTACTTTCTTCTGTTTCCCGATAACCTGCTGCACTGCTATGTCTTGATTTGTCATACTTGTCGTGGTTATCAACACCATCCTGTCCCTCTCGTGTCTGGGGTCCCATTTTCCTTCTGTTTTATTTTGCTTCTTTCTTTTCTTACTGAGAACGGAGTCATGGGAGATAAACTTTTTGGTCCTTTCCATATCTCAGAATGTATTTTTCTGTCCTCATAACATGGAAACTGGGCTATAAATCATCCTTTTTCCTTAGAATTTGAAGTTATTTTTCCTCTAGTATTACTGATTTGAACTTTGATGTTGTTCATATTCCTGGTCCTTTGCAGGGTTTTGTGTGTGTGTGTGTTTCTCTCCAGGCTTTTATGATCTTTTCTTTATCTCTAGTGTGTTGATGATGAGCCTAATGTACTATATTTTTGTAGGTGGGTTTTCATTCATTACACTGGTGTAATCTTGATTTCTTTAGTTTGAACATTCATACCTGTGTTTCTGGAGAAGTTTTTCCTGTTGTCTGTTTCTAGAACTCCTTCCCTGGTCAGATGTTGAATCCCCTAGGACAGTGGCTTTCACACTTGCACGTGCATCAGAATCACCTGGTGGAGATTGAAGATAGATTGCTGGGCCCACACCCAGAGTTCCTGATTCAGTAGACTTTGTATTTATAACAACTTCTCACATACTGCTGATGCTACTGTTCCAGGGGCAGAAGTTTGAAAAAACACTGTGTCAGACCAATTCTCTAGTAGTTCTGCTTTTCTTATTTTTTAAAAATATCCGGCTTTTGCGCTTTCTATTCCCTTGGCCTGGCCGCCCTTCCCCCAGATATCTAGATGGATCACTGCCTTTCATGTTGATTTACATATCGCCTTATTGGTGAGATCTCTTCCGACCATCCTATTGCAAATGGCACAACACACAGACCCATTCACATATTTTGTGCATACTCCGCCCCTTCATCCCTGCTGTCTCTCTAGAGCACTTCTTAAATACTGTATCATTTACTTATAGTCTATTGTTTTGGTTTTGTTTTTTTTTACTTTTTTTTTCAATTTTTGTTCATTTATTTTTGTTACATATAGTATATTGTTTATGTTTGCCTTCTTCCATTAGGGTGTAAGGTCAAGAAGGACAGGGAATTTACTTTGTTTTGTGATTTGCTGTATCCTCAACTTTTAAAATAGTACTTGATAAATGGTAAGCACCCAATAAGTATGTCTTGATGAATTTCCTCAATTCTATCTCCTGATATTCTTTTTTACTTTTTTAAATTGCCTGTATCATGTTTTTAATTTCTGTGAGCTCTTTTGTTCTCTGAGTGTTGCTTTATATAGTATCCTGTTTTAATTATGAATGCAACTTATTTATATGGACTTTAGATTTCTAGCCATTTTTTTTTTTTGTCCCTGCTTTCTGATTCTTGTGTGTGTGTGTGTGTGTCTTGGCTTATGGTTCTTGGCTTATGGTTCAGGCGGGTGGCTTTTCTCGAATATAGGTGCCTACGAGGTGTGTTTTGCCCTTTAAGACACAAAGCTGGCAGTCGTGTACATGGTCAGGGCTCGCTGGCTGGGGCTGGCTCTGGGCCTATCGCTTTCCCAGGGAAGCCCACCGTCAACACAGGTTGTTCTTCCACCTCCACCTTGGGCTACTTTGTCTGGAGAAGAAAGAACCCTATCTGGAGCCTGTAAGACTAGCAGCCAGTCTCCTGGGAGCCAGACTGGGAAAGCGTCTAGTGGACTTTCCCTTTTACATGTCAGCTGGGCTTAGTTTCTTTGTTTCGGTGAGGCGCCTCTCCTCTGCTCTCAGCCAGGCCCAGCATTTTGCAATCCAGAGCGCCCGGGCCTTGTTTCTCCAGCTAGCTAACTCCGTTGGGATGGGGTGGATTTATCCCTTGGCCATCACATGATTCTGTTCCGTATTGTCTCTCACCCCTCCAGGCACCAGGCAGAGTGGAAAAAGATGAAAACCAAAGTCCTACCTCTTATCCATACACAAGCCTGTTGATAGCACTGTGACAGAGTATTTGTTATTTGTGGGTTTGTGTCCTAGATTCTATGTTTCTGAATGTAAGCATTTAAGCATTTAACAGTATTTAATGTTACTTTCTCCCAGAATTAGACCCCGAGGCAAAGATTGGGGTGAGAGGGTGCGCTCCCGGGAACCACCATTCAGGGCATGGGAAAGCAGGACAGACCACGGGAAGAAATTAAGAAAGAATCAGTGTGAGGTGGAGCCACAGGCTCACCGGATGCCTCGGGAAGCTCCGCATTACATCTTATTTATTACATCTTATTTATTACATCTTATTTACCCAGCTCCCAGCACAGGCACTGGGCCTCTGTACTTCCATCCCTGGCTAAGGAATGCGGTGAGCAAAAGCTTCCTGGTATTTCCAGCTCTCAGTACTGGCAGTGACCTCATTGCTCAAGGGATTCCTGAAGGTCTAGAGTGTGAGCTATCACCAGCAAAGCACAGGGAGGATGGGTCCCAGCCTGACAAAGTGGATCCAAATTGCTGAGCAAGCGCCAGGAGTGTGTACTAAATATTAGATAAAGGAATGGCAATCCCTCCTAGTTATAAAACTCTTTACAGTTAACAGGGGGTGGTTCTTCTATCATCTCGTATTGTAATTGATCTTCAGAAAACGTTTCTAAGGAGAGAGGAGCATATTATCTTTCTTATTTTTCAAGAGCCAGATAAGGCAGATTAAGTGAATTTCCTAACATTTTCAGATTCTAAGCCTAGAGTTTATGCCAGTGTGTTGTGTCATATTTAAGAGTTTTATAAATATTTTATATCAATACATGGAGTGCATATAGATAGGGATGATTTAATCTAGTATTATTATGACTTTTTTATTTAAAAACACAGAAAATATTATAAGGAATAATCTGCTTTTCACTTTTAAAATTATTTCCATTTGGGTCATCTAACATTACATAGAAAAATTGAGTTAAGTAGTAAGCTCCATATTAGATGACTCTATGGTTTAATTCCCACCATCATTCAAGGCTTCTCCTTGTGTTTCATCGCTCAGATGTTTTAATTAAAGCCAGTGTGAAAGAGATGTATTAAAAGGTTCCTGGAGCACCGCAAGAGGTTGATTCATTTAGAATGTACTCAGAGTTCTTTCATCATTTTCCCATATGGGCCTATTTACATATAATACTTATGACTCATGACATTTCTGCCGAAGTATGACTGTTCTTTCTGTAAATATTTCCAGTTAACTCTTACAGTCTATTATTGAAACATCAGACACTTCCTTCTTGTAGATGAAGAATCACTTACCAGTCAAGAACCTACTCTTTCCTCCCTGTTCCATTAGCACTAGCCCACCTACCCATGGAGAATCTATCAGTGATAAATTCAAAGAGGTTGAGAACGGGAGTTTACCCCATGGATTTACTCAGAACTAAATAGTCCCTATTGTGTTAACTTTTTTCCTGTCACTTGAACCCATCCTTTATGGATGATCTAAAGCAGTACTTTTCCAACCTGCTGGCACATTAATACCATCTGGGGAAGTTTAAAATACACAGATGCCCTGGCTCTTCCCCAGACCAATTAAATTAGACTGCTAGGCACAGGTCTACGTTGAAAGTTCCCATGTGGTTCTATCATATAGCAGTTAAGGTTGAGTACACTGACCTGAAACAGAAGAAATGTGACAGGTATGTTAGTGTAGGGAATAGATTTGGCTGTCTCCCACATCTTAGTAGCTGGTTTTCCATTCCTTTTAAGCTGAGGATTTCTCTACTAATTTTGGTCTTTTGGCAGCACTTGAGGTCACAGTCGGTTGGGCAAACTAAGTGCCTGATGGTATTACATGTAGGCCCTAGTAGCAATTGTTTGGTAAAGTTTGAGCTTATTAGGAAAAGGAACAGTTGTACCTTATAGAATTTTAGAAGCAAAACTTTTTCTTTTTGCCTTACTACTAAGTTCCTGTATTTTCAGCTCATCTTTTGTATCTGCCTTCTATTATCTTTCTGACCCATTAGTATTTTCTAATTCTGTTCCTTAGACTTTTGTACAAAGGAACAACCTTGATGCTTTTATAACTTATAACTCCCTAGCCTTACTCTTAAAGCTGCTGATTTATTTGCCCAAGAAATCTGCATTATTATATTTTAACCCATTCCCTGGGTAATTCTCATGCAGGTGATACAGAGAGCCCATTTTGAAAACAGTCTAATTTCTTCAGTTGTTATTGTTATAATTTATTTCAAGAATGATGGAAGGAATAAATTTAAAAGGATACAATAAATTATTATTTTGTTCCCTTCTATTCAGTGAGTTAATGCATAAGTAACTTGTACTTGATCATTTGATGTAAAGTGTTCACACACACTTATTGATATAAGAAGTGATGAATTCATGACTCACTTTGGTAGTATAATTGGTAGTATGTAACAAAAAAGTATTTGGGAAATTATGTACACTTAATGAATTTAATGATTATTTGCTATTTATATAGAAATATTTTGTAGAATAAAATACCCATATTAAAAATTCTAATTGGTCTTAAACATTTTATGATATTGGACTTTTGTATAGGAGGTATTATGTCTTTCCAAGATAAAAGATTTTATTGCAATGTATTAAGTATTATGAAACTCTTTTATGGATAGATCAAGTTTTAACTAAAATTTTTCAGGAATATTTGAAAATATAGTAAAATTGTAGATCATATATATTTTATTTTTTAATGTAGTTTGGTTTATAGCTTTGGTGGATGGTATATATCAGGTGTTTTAGAAGTTTGTATTTTGAAAGTAGATGTTTTATTATTGAATAATAAGACTTTTATGTGATTAAATAATATATTGACAATTTAATATAATTTACTGTAATATAAATTAATAACTTTTGTGTTTAATTAGGATTTGGGTTTGCATTAATATTGCATCATTCTATTAGGCCATGTTATATTTCAAAATGATTTGGTGATATATGATGTAGTGAAGATTGTGTCTCACAAATGACCATTTTCAGTTTCTTGGCAGCACAGAAGTGGAGCAGCCCAAAGGAACAGAAGTTGTCAGAGATGCTGTAAGAAAACTAAAGGTAGGGAAAGCCCTCCACATAAATGTCTAGTGGATTGATCCTGTTGTAAGTCCTCAGTAGATTGATGGAAATTCAAAGCACAAATAACTTTTTGGTAGCTATGGCTTCAACCTCTTAAAAATTGACTATTGAAGAAATATCACCAGAGCAAAGAAAAATATTTAATAATTTATGTACACACAGTTCATTACTTTTTTTCAATATGGCACACTTTATATTTTTCTAAGTATAATTTCTCAAAAAATGTAATGGCAATATTTCATAAGTTTTGACATTCAGTTGCTTGCCTTTACATTTCTTGGACAAGGTATACTTGGGCCATAACTCAAAAACTACTAACGGTGTAACAACTATCTGTGATAGTTAGAATATCATATCCACCAGTTGAAAGTGTGAAGTAAGGTGAAGGCGTTAAGAAGTACATTTGGGCCCTGGCCAGTTTGGCTCAGCGGTTAGAGCGTCCGACTGCGGTCCGGAGAGACCCGGGTTCGGTTCCCGCTAAGGGCACGTACTTCGGTTGCAGTTTGTCCCCGGCCCTGGTTGGTCGTGCGGGTGGCAGCCACTTGATGTGTCCCTTCACGTCGATGTTTCCCTCTCTCTCCCTTCCTCTCTCTCCCTCCCACTCTGTACAAAAAATGGAAAAATATCCTTGGGTGAGGATAAAAAAAACAAAAAAAAAAGAAGTACATTTGGTAGTTACGGAATAGTCACAGGGAGGTTAATTACAGCATTGGTAATATAGTCAATAATATCATAATAACTATGTATGAGGCCAAGTGGTAACTTGACATACAGGGGGAAACACTCTCTACTTACATGATTGTCTAAGCACTAGGCTTTACACCTGAAACCAATACAGAATAATACTGAACATAAACTACAATTGAAAAATTTGAAAGAACAGTAAATGAAAGAATGTTCTGGTACATAATAACTTCTCAATAAATTCTATTAAAAAAATGAGAAAAAAATTTTTTTAAAGAAAGTAAGTGTGAAGTTAGAGTTGGTTTCAAAGCAGAATTTTGCAGTGACACTATATGTTAAAAAAAAAAGATCTCTTAATCCAAGATGATCTGGCCATGTCCATGAGCAGACATGGGGAACTGATGAAACTAAGAGAAAAAAAGACATTTAATTAACAAGTTCACATACTCATAATTAGCAAGTTTCCTGAGAAAATCTCATGTAAAATGTCACACACCTAGTATGTGTTTTCTAATTTTATCCCATCCTAAAAGACAATGTTTTCACTAAGACTTTAAGATTTTAGAAACTCTTTCAACAGAATTCTTATCTTTTTTATTGAGATATAACTAACATATAACATTACATTAGTTTTAGGTACCTAATATAATAATTAATTTGTATATATTGTGAAATGATCACTATCATAAATCTAATTAACATCCATCACTACAAAATTGGATTTTTTTTGTTGTGATAAAAACTTTTAAGTTCTACTCTCTTAGCAACTTTCAAATATACACTACACTATTAACTGTACTCACTATGTTATATGACACATCCCAGGACTTATTTATTTTATACCTGGAAGTTTGTACCTTTACCCATTTTGTTCATATCTCATCCCCTGCCTTTGTCAGCCACCAATCTGTTGCCTGTATCTATAAGTTAATTTTTCTATTTTTTCGAGTCTGCATATGAGACCATATGATATTCATGTTTTTCTGTCTGACTTATTTCACTTAGCACAATGCCCTCAAGGTCTATCCATATCTCAAATGGCAAGATTTTCTTCCTTTTTTTTTTTTTTAATATGTTTTTCTATTGATTTTTGAGGAGAGGGAGGGGGAGAAACATTGATTGGCCTCCTCCTCCTGCATGTCCCCCACTGGGAGTTGAGCCCAAAACCTGGGCATGTGCCCTGACTGGGAGTCAAACTGGCGACTTCTTGGTGCATGGGACAACACTCAACCACTGAGCCACATCAGCTGGGCGATTTCCTTTTTTTTTTTTTTTTTAATAGCTGAATAATTTATATATATATATATATATATCATATCTTCCTTATCCATTTATTCATCAATGGACACTTAGTTGCTTCCATCAGAATTCTCATCTTCATCTTATTAAGAAAATCTAACATACCACTACAACAACAGGTCCTCGAATAAAGTTTCATTCAGTGTTGTTTTGTTATAATGTTGATGAGATACCAAAAGAACTTAACTATTGTTTCTATCATTCAGCCTACGGTAACATTGGTTTCATTATAAATCATTTCATTGAAGAACCTATTGATGGCATTAAGTAAGGACTTACTTCATTTGTATAGTTAATTGTTATTCTCTTAAAAAAAGTTTTTTTTTCTTAGTTGACTTTTTTAGAGAGAGGAAGGACTAGGGAGAGAGAGGTAGAAACATCGATGAGAGAGAACATCGATTGGCCACCTCTTGCATACCCCCTCCCCCTCACAGGGGATCTGTCCCACAACCTAGGCATGTGCCCTGACAGGGAATTGAACTGGTGACCTCTTGGTGCATGGGTCGACGTTCAACCACTGAGCCACATCGACTGGACAATTGTTATTCTCTATAGCTGCTCTTGCAATTTTTTTTTTTTTTTTTTCTGAGAAATAGCTCTTCTCTAATTTTATTTAGTTTAGGAAAGTTAGGCTTCAGATCATACCAGGCAAAGTCATGGGTCGTAAAAAGTAATAGCCTGTTTTGAAAATATTACATCAGGCAGATTTTGTGCATTTAAATTGAGGAAAAATTAAAGTGGAATGGCTTGTACTCTAGGTGAAAAATAAAAATGGATAATATTTTTATTTATTCATTTTATGTGCAGATAGTTTATCTAATGTTTCAAATAAATATACTATAAGGTCCCAAGATGATATCATTCCCATTCGGGAAAAAAGTTGGCCAACCATTTCTCTCCACTACTCATTAGGTAATGATTCAGACTCGCCATTCTTTGGCCAATACTTTTAAGCACTAATGGGCATTTTAAAAAGTCTCACAGTTTATGGACAGCATTTAGAATAAGATTCCATTTTAATGTTCAGAATGTTTCACTTCCTGGGCATGAGTCCAACTTCATTACAATCACAATGTTTTATAAAAAGAATAATGGTATTTACACTTAATGTTTTTTTTATCTAGGAGGTTCTTTATTCAGGCAATCTAAATCCCAAACCAAAGGATTCAATTACATAATGGCTAGATAAAATGTAAAGAGATATTTGAAATGAAATGCTTTAGAAACAAAGTTAGGCCCTGGCCAGTTTGGCTCAGCGGTTAGAGCGTCGGCCTGCGGTCCGGAGAGACCCGGGTTCGGTTCCCGCTAAGGGCACGTACTTCGGTTGCAGTTAGTCCCCAGCCCTGGTTGGTTGTGCGGGTGGCAGCCACTCGATGTGTCCCTTCATGTCGATGTTTCTCTCTCTCTCCCTTCCTCTCTCTCCTCCCACTCTATCTGTACAAAAAATGGAAAAATATCCTCGGGTGAGGATAAAAAAAAAAAAAGAAACAAAGTTAGTTTTTTATATGCAGTATGGGCAAAGGTGGGCAAAGGTGGGTTTACAGTTATTATTATGGAAAATATTAGAATAATTAATAAATAATAATACAAGAAAAAACTGTGTTTTGTATACTCACTACTGTAAGCCTACTTTTGCTTCATGCTGTATTTTTGTGGAATTTTGTATACAGTTCCCATGGAGTTTTATGTTTGGAAATGTACTCTAAGAAAGGAATGTGATTTACAGTAAGATTAAAATTTCATGGTATGGTTTAAAAATGCATAGCCGGTTGATAGTAGCTTTGACTTTCAAGTAACTTCCAGAACAAACATGTATGTAATAAGTAATCTTTCCTTGGCTGACTGTAAAAATTTTGTAGATCAGAAAAGTTTATCTGACAGTAATGATTAAGGAACTCATAAAACAAAGTTCTTTTATGTATTTTTAGTTTACTTTTTGTGTTTGTCAGAGGCTACAACTCAAAGTATATAGGAATATTTACATTTTCAAAGAAGAATTTAGAACCTGGCTCTTCTTTAATTCTGTTGTCATGTAGAAATGACCAGAAGATGGTGCTATGGCTCTACTTAAAAATGAAGAAATTTGCTCATTAACTCTGCTCTGTGTACACATCTTTCATTTAAATCTCCTATTTTTTTTTCTTAAACATATGTATTCTCACTATCTTTTTATCCACTATAGTGTAGTATTTTATTTTATTTGCTAGATAAGGTAACATTTTATTTATATTTACTAAAGTTTTCAAAAGTTTGCATGAGTATAATTGGCTTCTGATGTAATTCATAATTTAGGATTAATACAATATGATGGAAAAAAAGATTTTCAGTAAGTAGTTTTTAATGCTACTAATTTTGATTATGCCTGATAACTTTTTAAGAAAGATTTTTAAGAACTGATTCATTTCATTACATGCCATTTTTCTGTTATTTTTTGGAGGATATATAGTTTATAAATTGTTCTTAAATGTGATAATTTTTATAATTGTTAAAGTTTTTACTTTAAGAATATGTGTTTGTCAAAACATATTTTATATTTCTTGATTATGTTATAGCCTGATATTTAAAAAATACCAAAATGTAATAATTATAAAAAACCCTTTCAACTTCTATTTAATATCAGTGTTATTGTAATTAATAACATTTATAATAATATTTATTTATTTTTATTAATACAACTAGTATCAATCTTAGAGGACTCCATATATATCATAAGCAAGGAATGTGGTCTCCTGGGAATAACCCCGAGGTTCTGTTAAATCTAGATCCAGCAGTTTCTTCATTCGACTTTACTCTCTGTGTGTAAGATGACACTGTTTTGTTTCTGTTTTTGTTGTTATGATCACAGTAAGTCTAGTTAACATCCATGTTCATACAGTTATAAAATTTTTTTCTTGTGATGACGACTTTTAAGATCTACCCTTAGCAACTGTCCAATATGCAATACTATATTGTTAATACAGTCATCATGCTGTACGTTACATCTTCATGACATGACACTCTGCTGTTGTCCTCATAACCAGTTATTTAATTAATCAAATGGTTAGAGCTTAACTTAATTGCAAACATACATACATAGCTGATTTCCCTGTTGGATTATTAAGATAGTTTAAAATAAATTAACAACTATAAGAATCACAGAGAGGAATAGTAGCTCAGAATATTTGGCCCAGAGTAATAAATTGATTAATTTTCTTGCCTAATAATATGTATTTCATTAGTAATGAAGTTAGTTTTTGTTTATTTAAAGTCCTGTGAGAAACAAATAGAAATTGCACGATGATGATATTGAAAACTTTTGTTTCTTTAGCTGTTCTACTTACCAATGACATATATTTAACCAAGTACTTTATGTATTTCAAGTAATACTTCATATTTTTCCATCATTTTATGGTGACAAAGGCTTGTTTTTGTTCATTTGTCTTATCCCGATATCCTACAGGGTGCTTGGGCTTCACCCACTTTGAATAATTTTTATTGGATTGTTAGATGCAAGTTTTAATGGTAGATCACTGTTAAATGGCCAAGAAATGAATCCACTGAAGCTAAAATGGAAAGAAATTTGCAAAAAGGCTCTTCCAGCATTAACATTCAGGTAGTAAACAGGGAGAGAAAAGGCTGTAATAGAAGAGTGATGAGCATGTCTTCCACATGTATGTTCCAACGTATGTTTTGGAACACAGTTAAGAGGTTTGTAAGTAGGAAAAAAGACTTAAGTTAGACACAGCATGCAAACTACAGAATACAGTAAATTCTTAAATTTCAGAAAAAATGTGTTGAATGACAATATTATACTCTGATTTAAAATATAGACTGAGCAGTTATAACCTTGGGCATAAGTGTCTTGCAACATTTGTGCAACAAGCAAGGCCCATAACCTGTATAAACCTTGATATGAAAATAGAATGAGGAGTTTATTTTTTTAAATGCAGAAAATCTATTGTGCAAAAGAAAAGATTTATTGGTGGTGGGGAGCTGGAGAATGGGTTCTAAACCTGATTGCTACAGATCCATTTTAGGACCAAAGGATTGGATTGGATTGGATTGGATGACCAGTGAATCTTCTAACACAATTACTTATTTTGTTATGAGGCCGAGGAAAAGCCTGAGATCAGATGTTTTATGTTTATTTTTCTTTCTCATTCTTGTTTCCCCACCTCTTTCGTCCCTCTTTGTTTTTTCTACCTCCTGCCCCTACTTCCTTTCTTCAAGTCTTTATCTTTTCTTTCGTTTTATTTCCTGGCAGAAAACAAACTATCTCAACAGATAAGTTTAATGCTGGTGGTTGTTTTGTGGCAGACTTGTTGGAAACTACAAGAGGTCATAGGAATGGTTGTGTCCAGCTGTGGAAAGGCCTCAGGAGGCTCTGCTCTTAATCTGTTTCTGGAAAGGAGCAGCCCCTAGAATTTTGCAGCCCAGGAGAGAGTGACTTGTTCAGTGCATTCACGTGGCTGGATTTATTTTGCAAGCCTGCATATGTGAGCATCTCCAAGTTGTTTTAATTATGCCAATGCAGGAAGGAGATTACAAAGAGAAAAGAAACAAAACTAATCCTTTCTTTGGGTGAGAGCTGGGATAATTTTTAACGATTTTCACTAAAGCAGAACAAATTTCTTCAAGACAAAAAAAAAAATTCTCTGGCATTAATTAGTCAAATTAATGTGCAGAATGTAAGAATGCCTGTTACAGAAAAGAAAAAAGAAAACTGCCTGCATTCATAGAACAGGACAGACTGCAAGCTAAAAATGTATGCCACCCAAAGTGAAATGAAATAAATGGTACTCCCACCCCCCATTTCAAGGCAGACACTTCAAGGTATTTGTAGATGCATTAATTACATTATTCTCCATGGCAATGCGAGACCATGAAAAGAGAAAATGGCCCTGGACCACTCGCTGCTCCAGGACTGAGCTGTAACACATGTTTTCACATCTGTCCCAAATTAGAGACAAATGCACAGTGCAAATAAATATGACACACAAAAGAGAACTGAAATCCTACCCTGCCTTATCTGTAATCTTTTTGAGTCAAGTTAGGATGATCCATATTCTGAAAAGATGTCATATAAAGAAATACCATTTTGAAGCCCTAAAAGAGGGGTAAGAAATTGGATTCTTTTTGATATTTTTTTTCTTCTTGTTTTTATTTCTTAAAAAAAAAAAAAAAGTGGGGAGGGAGTAGCCTTGCTGGACAAATCAGGACACTTAATAAATTTTGAATTTTAGTTAAACCGTGAATAATTTTTCAGTATAAGTATGTCCCAAATATTGCACGGGGCATACTTATACAAAATAGCATATATATGTTAAATGTGTGTATATGTATAGAGAGTGTTTATGTGTATTCTAAAATAAAATTGTTTTAAAAATTATTATTGTTTAGTATTCAGATCTAACCGGGCTCCTGTCTTTTTTTTTCTGGCACTAAATCTGACAGTGTTAGCAGAGAGGCAGAAATGTATATACTAAGTACACAACTATTTTAATTTGTTTTTATTTTCTAACAAAATCTACAAGCATTTACATGCTTACTAGTTCAGTATGAAGATACAATAAATACGACTGTGAAAGCATTTTAAAAGTTTATGTTTTCAAGAATCTCACTATATTTATCATTCTAGACCTAGTCTATTTGTCTAGTTCTGAGTACTGTATTTTACTTGGGATAATTACTTCAATTCTTAGCTTAACGTTGAATATAGTAATGCTCCATTTTACTCACTGATTTGATGGGGTACGACGGTAAACCAGAAGAGGTGCCTAGAAATGGCCAAGATGGCATATCCAGCCCTGGTGGATGCAAGGTCTCTAACGGAATTAAAAACAAAATTCCATGGGGAAAAATGATCTCTGCTTAGCTTCCCACAAAGACTTTTTGTTTTCTCAATTGGTATGAATATAAGTTTTAAAATATCATGAAAGAAGTAGATTACAAATGTTTTTTAAAAGCTACTGGAAATCAATCTGATTTTAACGACAATAATGTTAGATACTATGATCTCTAAATATTTTGAGGTTAAATGGGGTTTATAAAGTACATCATAATGGGCAATAATTTAAAGAAAGTTCAACACAAGACAAACTCTTTATGTATACATATTTTTGTGTGCATTCTTTATAGAAACAATTATAGTTTTGTGAATACTTTTTCATTTGTAGTTTGCAAGACATATCAAGAAATCTGAAGGCCAGAAAATTCCTAAAGTTGAGTTGCAAATATCAATTTATGGAGTAAAAATTCTAGAACCCAAAACAAAGGTAAGGCTTATTTTTGAATGTCAGAAGCACTACTCTTTCATTGTAATTATATTCCTATTTTAATATATACGTAAAATTTGTTACCAATTGGAACTGTAAATAGTTCTCAGTTAATGACCATTTAAAACTGTATAGGATTTTTATGGGGACAAAAAAACTTTGGGGATTGCTTTCTGAGTGGTCTGTTCTTCAGCCTGTATTTGAGATGTAATCATTTATATTAAATGCATTTAACAGTATTTAGGACTTTTTCTTCATGTGCTGTGAAAGAGATGCATAAAGTGTGGGTCACCGAGTAGGAAAAACAAGTTGTGTGTTGTTTCTTAAAATGTCCTGGACTGACTTATTGCCCATAGAGATAATCAGTATGTATTGTTTTACAAGGGCTGCCATAATAAAATACCACAGACCTGATGTCTCAAACTACAGACATTTATTTTCTCGCTGTTCTGGAGGCTGAAGTTGGTTTCTTCTGAGGCATGTCTCCTTGGCTGGCAGACGGCTGCCCTCTTCACATGGTCACCTGTGCACACACATGCATGGTGTCTCTTCATGTATCCAATTTTCCTTGCTTATGAGAACACCAGTCAGATTGGAAGGAACCACCCTAATGACCTCCTTTTATTTTATTCACCTCTTTCCAGTTTTATCTCCAAAGACAGTCCCATGCTGAGGTATGAGAGGGCTTAAGGTTTTAACAGGAACTTTGGGGGAACACAATTCATCCCATAACAGAATAAACTTAAGGTTCTTGTATTTACGAGCCTTTTCATTTTTGGTTAAGTTTCACATGTTTTTTCATTAAATTTATTGGGATGACATTCCTTAATGATATTATATAGGTTTCAAGTGTATATTCCTATGACACATGATCTGTATATTGCATCGTATGCCCACCACCCAAAGTCAGATCATCTTCCATCACCATATATTTGGCCCCTTTACCCTTTACCACTCCCAACCTTTTCCCTCTGATAACCACCGCACTGTTGTCTGTGTCTGTGAGTTTCAGTTTTATATCCCACACATGAGTGAAACCTGTTCTGGCTTTACATTCATTAATATGTGCTTGTTATGGACTGAACTGTTTCCACCCCAAATTCCTATGTGGAAGTCCTGGCTCCACAGTGTGAGTGTCTTTGGAGATAGGGCCCTAAGGTAGTTAAGGTTAAATGGGGTCTTAATGGGGCCTTATCCAATTTGACTGCTGTTCTTGTAAGAAGAGGAAGAGGAGGGATATGTGAGCACAGTCAAAGGTCCAGGTGCAAACACAGCAAGAAGGTGGTCATCATAAGTCACGCTGAGAGGTTTCAGCAGAAATCAAACCTGCTGATATCTTATTATTGGATTTCCAACCTCCAGAACGATGAGAAAATTATTTTCTGTTATTTAGGCCACCAAGTCAGTGGTATTTTGTTATGGCAGCACTAGCAAATTAATATAGCACTTTATTCACAATGCTTCAGAATTATTGTTTAGTAATTTTCATAAGACCATGAGCATCACTTTGGAAAAATTGATCAACGTTCAACTCCGATTCTTACAAATGCATATTGCCAGAGCTTTCCTCTAACACTATAGCTTGCTTACTGAAAAATTAATTCCATTAGAAAGGCCAAGGAAACCCTGACCTGTAAGCAGATTATGAAAACATTTGTCACAGGTCTGCACCTTTTCACTAGTTCAGTCTTTGCCATTGGTGCCTTCATCTGTGTGCATACCACACCCCTGACAATGTCTTGCTATTCAAAGTGAGGTCTGTGGACCAGCATCATCTGGGAGCTTGTTATAAATATAGAATGTCAGCCCCCTTTCCAGACCTGCTGAATCGGAATCTGCAGTTTAAGGAGAAGCACAGGGACTGCTGTGCACATTGAAGTCAGAGGCGCTCTGGTCTAGTGCACAGTCTGCTGACTGTGTGCAGTGGCCCGCATTTCTCATTTATAGTCCATGGAATGCTTGCATTAAAAATACCCGAGCCATTGGCAAAAATAAGTCCTAAGGCCCTATCTTAGCCCGCAGAATCAGAATCTCCTTGGAAATTTTGCTTTAAAAAAATATGTTTGAGGATAACTGGACTATGGCATAGATGCACCCACAATTACTGTTCAATTCTAAATGAAAGAACAATGGCATTCTTTCAGAGGTTCAAACCATGAGTTTAAGACCTCCCACAACTGTCCTGTGTAATTTCCTCCTATTATCTACACTCAGTATGAAATAACAGAGGGTTGGAGACTTGACTTTGGTTATGGCTGTTCCCAGATAGATATTGCTAAGGTGGCTGAAAGCCAGCAAAGGAGTGGTGAAAGGACAGAGGAAGGTCTGTCCAAGCACACAACGGAATACACACACACACACACACACACACACACACACAGTGTGCTAGGACACAGGGCAGTTAAAAATGAGGCATTATATATTGAGCAGGTGGTTGGCTGAGATGTATTCATTAGGCACATTGTAGTTACAACAGGTTGAGGAAGCAATAAGTTAAAAAGTGACAATGCAATGAAAAGTGTAGCCACCATAAGTATAGTCTTATATGCAATTAAAAAGAAAAATAATCCTAGTCATACATTTCCTTTTTTAAATTAAAAGGATATTTAGTGGCAAATGTCCAGCCAGAACAGGTCAATTGTAGGCCATGTTAAAAAGTTTTTTCTAATCCATACAGATTCTATAACTGTTTTGGAGTGTATTTCTATATGATTAATTATTAATTCAACTTCTTACGTGAATGTTTCGTACTTGTCAGAGCACACCCTGAAATATATAGGGCTCGTAATGCACTATACGTGTCATTCACATGTGTTTGTTCTTTTTTTTTTTTTTTAATCCTCACCCGAGGACATTTTTCCATTTTTTGTTCAGGTAGAGTGGGGGGGGGGGAGAGGAACAGAGAGAGAGAGAGAAACATCGACGTGAAGGGACACATCGAGTGGCTGCCACCCACACAACCGACCAGGGCCGGGGACAAACTGCAACTGAGGTACGCGCCCTTAGCGGGAACCAAACCCGGGTCTCTCAGGACCGCAGGCTGACGCTCTAACTGCTGAGCCAAACCGGCCAGGGCAATAATGGCATATTTTTACAAGAGCTCAAACAATAGACTTAAAGATACTACGAGATCATTAACACTAATATCGTATGTGTATGTGCATTTATTTCTCTTATAATCATTTAATTTATTTGTAATTTACTCTTAAATATGATCTAGTAACATGCACATAATGCAAAGAGTAATGGTGAGAAGAGACAGAGATGGATCATGTAAATGCAAATGTAACACAATGTTACCGGCTGGTGATTCCAGAGTCCCCCAGAATAAGTCTCCCAATACCGAGTTTCCACTGACAACCTGTCATCCATATCGTTCTGTTCCCTAAACTCCCACTGTCAAATCCCCATGCCTTCCTGAACCTAAACCCATTTACAAAACATCAATGAGGTGGGAGTCAACCCAATGCAATTAGCCAATTGACTTTTGATCATCATATTTTGCTTTACCCACATCAATAACACCAATGCTTTTCTTCCCTGTCACAAAGTCTCAGCCCTATACTTAATAGCTCATTTTCAAGAAGCCCAATTGAGCCCTGGCTGGTTTGGCTCAGTGCTAGAGCATCGGCCTGCGGCCCTGAGAGACCTGGGTGTTCGGTTCCCGCTAAGGGCACGTACCTCGGTTGCAGTTTGTCCCCGGCCCTGGTTGGGTCGTGCGGGTGGCAAGTACTTGATGTGTCCCTTTCACGTCCATGTTTCTCTCTCTCTCTCTCTCCCTCCCTCCCTCCCATTCTATCTGAAGGAAATATCAAAAAATGTCCTCAGGTGAGGATAAAAAAAGAGAAGCCCAATTGAATTTCCCCCAAAAGTAAGTTTTCCAAGTTTTTCACAGGAAAGAAGCAACTCTATTCCTACCAAACTTGTAGAGCGATCTGGAGTTTTAAAATCTGAAATGTCTTTATAAATTCAATTATATTACATATGAATAAAGAGCAACTGACTCTTTGCCCATATATTACATATGAACATAGAGAAGCTGATTATTTTCCAATATATAGATTATACCACTTTTTGAATACATTAACAAAAAAAAAAAGTAGGTAATTTAAAAAGGGAATTTTCCAGCTCTGCTGAGCAGCAATGCTCCAAGGAGACGCCTGAGAATACCAACTCCAGGCCTTTCAGACTCAGAATCCACAGCACAAGACAGCATCTGTATTATAAAACAAACAAAAACCTCCTCGGGTGACTTTGATATAGCCTGTTCATAGATATGTATTTAGGACCCACCGAGGAGACATGAGTGAACCAGAAAATATCTGTCATTCATTTTATTTCATATAGAAGTTGTAATATTTGGCAGGGGGCGGGGGGCAATTAAGTATGGTGCTCGTAAAATAAATTTTTTATAATAAAATATGTATGAGGTGGGATTTAAAAATTCATTATTGGTTTAACATGGACTTGATAAGAATTGGACTATTTTGCTATCCCATTTGGATGGTTGAAAACAGAAGTGAACAGCAATCTCATTCGGCTCCAATATCTTTTTGTGTCGTTTTTCCTTTCTGATTTTCTCACTTGTCCTGCGCAAAGGAGAATTATGGCATATAGGGAAACAGGTGTGATAGGTGAATGGAGGCTTTACTTATTTTTTGTTCCAATTCCAATAAAATGTCATCCACGTTCAAGGATAATTGTGTTCTCACTCTGCTTCATTGTGTTCCCAAGTCTTCTTATCCTGTCTCACCAAACACTAATACTGCATTTAAAATTCATAAAGATCTATCACAACAACAACAACAATCTCACACAAATAATAAACTTACAGTTTTTCAGCTTTCTAGTCTTTTTTTGTAGGAAGATACCTCTGGTATCTAAACAAAATGCAGATGATTCCCAACTTTAGTAACAAAGGACTTTCTGTGATCAGACTGGTTGGTGAGTGAGTGAGGAACTGCATAGATTTCAACATCAGTTATGTGAATGGTGCATTTTTCTTATTACTTATATATTTTTTCCACAAATGGAAAAAATTATTTTCTCTATATTGTACAGCAAAGATATTTTCTCTTAATGTATCATTAACATGATTATACAACTCATAAACTGGTATAGACCTTCTATCATTATTTCACAGCTATAGTGCAACTGAAAGCTGTTGTTTGATTGACATTAATGTGTTAACATTAAAACAAAAAAAAGTCAATTAGAAGAGTCATTGATAGAGAAAGTATAGGAGAAGGAAAGTCTCAAACAGATGTGGTCATTGCCCATCTCAGCACTGCCCACAAGAAAGGGAAGATGCCCCCATCAAAAGCTTTAGTGAGTGATTTCTTCTGTTTGGCATTGTTCCTCTCTGCTGTTGACATGGATAGATCAAGCTATCTAGTAATGACAGAAAACATTACAATCACAATATACCTCCTCATTTTAATTTTTATGTTTGCCAAGCAACCCTTTGATGACTTACAGTTTGGTTTGTATGCAGGGAAAGAATGCACTGCCATATACAAATTCTCTTAACATTTATTTGTGTATCTCATTTACATCCTCGTTTCAGTCTGATCAATGGTAATGTAAACAAAGTGATCTCAGCGGGCTCAGAAAGCCCGCGAACCTCTGATCCTCTTGTATTTTGCTTGTGTTTTTCTAAGTTCCATTGAAATGACTATCTTAGTTTAATTCTGAGTCAGGAGGTCCATCTCCATTACATATTTGTTTAAATTTTGGGTGTATGTAATTATAAAACCAAAGTTTGACAGATGATTGTTTCACTTTTAAAGTCGTAAGTTGCATGTTATTAACACAAGCTGGTATTTCAGAAAATGGAATAAAATCTCTTCAACTGTTTATTTCTACGTGTTCACAGGAAGTCCAACACAATTGCCAGCTTCATAGAATATCATTTTGTGCAGATGATAAAACTGACAAGAGGATATTCACTTTCATATGCAAAGATTCTGAGTCAAATAAACATTTGTGCTATGTATTTGACAGCGAAAAGTGTGTAAGTATGCCAGATGTTTTAGGGTGGTTTGTTCTGTTTTACAATCCAAGATTGTCTTGTTTCCGGCATTAGTAAAGTATTTGGAAATGAATAAGGTCTGAAAATACTTAAATACACTAATAGATCCATCCTGTCATGAGAGTATGCTTCAGGATTTCATTCTTAACTAAATTCTCATGTCAGGAGCATAAGCTTGCATGCAAATTTCTTTTCTTAGAACACAATGCCTGCTTATGTTATGCATTTATTTATCTTAAAATCATATAATTTATTTGTAATTTTCATCTCCAGTATGATTTAGTAATATGCACATAATGCAAAGAGTAATGGTCGACAGAGTATGTTGTTGTTTTTTTTTCTGAAATGCAATGGATCTGAAAATAAATATTTTAAACCCCAGGAATTAAAGTCTCTATGGCTTCTTTAAAAATATCAAATACTTTGAAAATATGATTCTTAATTTTCATTATTCAGAAAACTTAATATAATGAAAGGCAATAGAATCATACGCGCACATATGTGTGCTGGCGTGTGTGCATGTGTTAGCTGGTGATGTAATGTAAAGTTATTAGCACATAAGAACAATCAGGGAATTCTGAAGTTCTGAAACAGTTCTTTATTGTGGAATCTCTGTGTCTTGTTATAAGCATTAGCTAATGCTAAGCACAACCTAGTCTGAGATCCTGTTATAAAACATAAAATGTGAATTCTAAGCACACATTGCAGCCATTGGTGGCTTTAATGACGGAAGAACATCTAACCTCAACAACATTTTTGGCTTAGACAGGAAAAGAACTTAACTTATTTATTTGCTCATTTTTCATGCTGTCAAATGTCAGAGGACTAATATTATTATCACTGTTATGCAATTTATTTCTCTGTTTTCAGCATGTAAGCTTCTTGAAAACAAATACCTTTTTATTTGTCCATAGAACTTCTATAACAGGTGGACAATAAATGCTCAATGAATTTTTCCTTAAAAAGTTTAGGTGGAAAAAAAATGTTTTAAGTAGAGCAAGTTATCATCTGTACCTTTTAATTATAGAGCTCTAAAAAGGTAAACTAGTGTGCTAACCTAATTGGCATCAAAATACCTTTTGACAATTTGATTAACATTACAGAACATCTCATCAGAAAAATATGCTTACCCATGTAAGAAATACCGAATGAACGATAAGGAATTTTATATGAAATTCAAGTTGTTTTCAAAATTTATTCTATTGAATGAATGCATTATATTTAGTGTTCCAAGTGCTTCTTAACCATAATTGTTTGCAGATGTCTTTCTCCAAGTGGTTGAGAAGATTAAAGTAGATGTCTTTTATGCGTAAGATGTATAACTTTTTACCACTTACACAAAGCAGTAAACTTAGTTGTCTTTCTTGCCTTACACAAATAAATAAACTTCCTTGGGGTCTTTTGAAATATTCATAATCAGAAATCATTATGAATATTAGCCTTCTTACAGTTTTATGTCAAGTGTTTTTCTTTATTTGATCCCCATCCAAATTGGTTACATGATTATATAAAACACAAGCTTGCCAGAATCCTTGTTTCAAACATGTAGACTCTCTTGCTACCTGATCATAATTGTTTGTAATTGATTTCCATAATTTCAATTCCTTGATGCATTATTATCTTTGAATATAGCATATTAGCTTTCTATGTTCTTGAAGGTTGAAAATAATCTCTTGAAACCTACAGTCATGGCTCACAACCATCAGTGTAAATAATATTTATAAGGAGGACCTTTTATTTTTATTTTTTATCCTCACCTGAGGACATTTTTGCACTTATCTTCAGATAGAGTAGGAGGGAGACAGGGAGGAAGAGAGAGAAAGAAAAGTCAATGTGAGGGCCTCAAGACCATAAAAAAGGAGCAGTCAGAAATGAAGGAGGCACTAATGGAAATAAAGAATAATTTATACAGATTCAATAGTAGAATAGGTAAAGCCAAGAAGCAAACCATCAATTTGGAATATAAGGAAGCAAAAAACACCCAATTAGAACAGCAAAAAGAAAAAAAGAATCCAAAAAAAAGAGGGTAGTGTAAGGAGCCTCTGGGACAACTTCAGGCATGCCAACATTCTCATCTTGGGGATGCCAGGAGAAGAGAGAGAACAAGAAATCAAAAACCTATTTGAAACAATAATGGCAGGAAACTTCCCTAACTTGGCAAAGGAAACAGACATACAAGTCCAGGAAGCACAGAGAGTCCCAAACAAGATGAACCCCAAGAGGCCCAATCATCATCAAAATGCAAAAGGTTCAAGACAGAGAATCTTAAAAGCAGCAAGAGAAAAGCAGTTAGTTACCTACAAGGGAGTTCCCATCAGACTGTCAGCTGATTTCTCAAAAGAAACTTTGCAGGCCAGAAGGGAGTGGCAAGAAATATTCAGAGTGATGAAAAGCAAGAACCTACAACCAAGATTACTCTATCCTGCAAAGCTGTCATTTAGAATCAGTGGCCATATAAAGAGTTTCCCAGACAAGAAAAAGTTAAAGGAGTTTGTCACCACCAAACCGTTATATGAAATGTTAAAGGGTGTTTTTGAAGAAAAAGATAAAATATATGAACAAACAAAATGGCAATGAATACATATCTATCGGCAATGGAATCTATGAACAAAATAAACAGGCAGAACAGAAACATTCTTATAGATACAGAGAATATTTTGTTGGTTGCCAGATGGGAGGGGGGTTGAGGGAATGGGTGAGAAAGGTGAAGGGATTAAGAAGAAGAAATTGGTTGCTAGATTGACAAACCTCAAAGAGAAGGGGGTTGGGGGGTGGGAAAAAATAAACCAAAGAACTTATATGCATAACCAATGGACACAGACAACAGTGTGGGGAAAAGGCAGGAGGGGGACGGGAGTGTGGAAGAGGGGGTCAATGGGGGAAAAATGAGGAACATCTGTAATACATTCAACAATAAAGATAAAATTTCAAAAAATCAATAAAAATAAGTATTCTTTCTAAAAAAAAAGAAAGAGAAAAAAAAAAGAATTGAAACAACAAAGAAATCAATCAAAAACTCAGAACTCAGTAATAGAAAAATAACAGAAAAGTCCTAAAAAACTTGGAAATGAAATAGCACTCTTGTGTACATTCCATATGTCAAAGAGGAATTTGCAAAGAAAACATTTTGAGATGCAGTAAACTACTTACAAATTAAATAGAACATAACATTTTTTGTGATACAGATAAAGCAGTACTGAGAAATGTATAACAACTAAGTTAATATATTCAAAAAAAGGAAAGTCTCAAATCAGTAATCTAAGCTCTTACCTCAAGTACCTAGAAACCAAAATATCAAAATAAACTCAAAATAAGCAGAAGAAATGAAGTAAAAGACATAAAAGAAGAAAATAATTGAAAACAAAAGCAATAGAGAAAAATCAATGAAACAAAGACCTTGGAAAGATCATAAAAATAACAACAATTTAGTAAAATTGGCGAAGAAAAAAGGCACAAATTACCAATGTCAGGAAGGAAATAGGAGATTTCACTGCAGACATTCCAGATAGCAAAAGAATGACAAGATGCTATAAAACACTGTACACATAAATCTGACATGATAGATGAATTGAATCAACTTTTTAAGAACTACAAGCTACATTAAATTACCAAATATATAATTTCAATAGCCCTGTAACTATAAAGGAAATTGAATTTCTAACTTAATACTTATTAAAAGAGAAATTTCCAGGCCTAGATGGTTTCACTGGAGGAATCTATAAAATACTTAAAGAAGAATAACATTTTACACAACCTACTTCAAAAAAATGTCAATTCATTTTATGAAACTAGTATTTTGCTAATAGGAAAACAATACATAGTGCAAAAAGAAAAAATAGAAAACTACAGACTAAACTATATTTCTTAGGATTATATATTTAATGATTCCTAACAAATGATTAACAAATATAATTTAGCAAAATTTAAAAAAAATTATACATCAAGACCAACTGGAGTTTCTCCTAGGACTCAAACCTTGTTCAACATCCAAATATCCAGCGATATAGTCAACTGTATATCTTGACTATATTAATATCAATAGTAATTGGTTGTGATTTGTGCTAACTCTTGTTTGTAATATGTTACCATTGGTGGAAAGTACAAAAAGGGTGTAAGTCTGTTTTATTTCTTACAACTCTATATAAATCTAAAATACCTCAAAATAAAAACATTACTCACAAAAACCTGGGAAATAAATGATGGCCACTTTGGACCAACCCTTTTATCATATTTTAAGTAAATCCAGGTCAGAGAGATTTAGTGTCTTTCCCAGAGTCACAAAGCTAGGAAGTGACAGAATCAGAACCCCAGTCCAATACCACAGATGCCCATTTATACATTCTTCCTATCATGTTACATTACTTGCATGGCTGTGACCTCTCCATAGTCCCCCTGCTCTTAGTGGGACGTTTATGCTGTTTATTCATTGTATTTCATATAGTTTGTACTTCAGTGAATTTCTAAGAGCTGCTTGAAATTCGGATGAAGCCCTATCCTAGTATGCTACAAAACTGGAACTTACTTTATTAGCATCATATTGTTGTATTATTAAAGATTTAATGTTTATACAACTTCTATAGTCATTTCACTACATTTAAAAAATAAAATTAGACTATGGATATACAGGGTGGGGCAAAAAAAGTATATTTACAGTTGTGAGTATGTGAAACATTTTATTCGTGTATTATTATTATTATTTTTCTTTTTAATCCTCACCTGAGGATATTTTTTTCTATTTCTCCTCAGATATAGTGGGAAGGAGAGGGAGGGGGGAAGGAGAGGAAGGGAGGGAGGGAGGGGAGGAGAGAGAGAGAGAGAGAGAGAGAGAGAGAGAGAGAGAGAGAGAGAGAGAGAAACATCGACATAAGACACATCCACTGGCTGCTGGCTGCTTCCTGCAAAACCCCTACCAGGGCCGGGACGAACTGCAATCGAGGTACATGCCCTTGACTGACATTCAACTCACAACTCTGGTCCATGGGCCGACACTTTAACCCCTGAGCCAAACCGGCCAGGGCATATTTATTAATTATTGTATTACTTTCCATATGAACAACTATAAACCTACTTGCCCCACCCTGTATATTATGATGTGATTGATTTGGTTTCTTTAATATAAAGGCAAATATAGTCATTGTCAACTGTTTAGCCATCCTTTTGAAAGTCTTTATTTTTCACAATTTTATTTCCAAGTATAAATACAGATACTTTAGTCACTGGATATTGAACTTGATGATATTTAAATATTAACCCAATAAGCAGATGAAACCTTCACTCCATCCACGTGTTTTTTAAATTATGTGATATGTAATGTAAAATTAAGCAAAGTTTAAAACGTCTCTCTTAACTAATTGCAGAGAAGGGTTCACGTGTCAGAAGAATCATACATTATTATTACTAGAAGGAATCAGTCATTATATTTAGTTTTTGTACCAGGTCTGATTAATTGTAAGCTATTATACATTCTTGTTATATTTCAGGTTTGCCTTGTAATCATTTTTTTGAAATAAAATTTTTTTTAATTTAAAAATATTCTTGCTCTTTATATAATATTACATGATGGGGCATTAAATGAATCCTCTTAGCTTAGTCATCCATAAAACTAAGGTAATATAAAAAGGGGAATTCAAGTTAAAGAGACATTTCTTTATACTACTTTTTCATGAGATAAATTCATATATGAATTAAATAGATACTTGAGGTGGGAGCTTAGATTACTGATTTGAGACTTACTTTTTTCTAATGTATTAACTCAGTTATACATTTCACTCTCAGTACTCTTTTGTCTGTATCACAATTTTATATAATTTAGATATAATTTCATATATAATTTTGGCATATATTTTGCATTTTTTAGTTAACTGAGTTAAATGCTATAGTATTTTTTATGGCTAAAAGACTTTCTTAGACAAATATGAACTGAAATGACAGTCTAAATTAATAATCTAAGCTTTATAAATAAAGCATATATCCAATTTAGATTGCTTGTAGTGTAATAGAAAGTTTTAAGATTTATAGTAGATTAGTGGAAACAGCGCTTTCAAGATTTAACATTACTTACAGTTTTTATCTGGAGGTTATCTGGAGATCTTAGAATTGAATATGATGCATTTGTGATGCATTGAATTAATGCTTTTACCAAACTTCATGTTAATAAAGTAAATAGATCTTTAATGTTTACATTGTGCAAGACACTTGATCTCAGTTGAGATATCAATGGAGAAGGAATGAGGGGATGGACTTAGGATATTTGTGGCAGTTTCTAGTTGATAGACCAGTGATTGTAAATCGTTTACCCGTCCATATTCAGATGACAGATATATTTTGTTCAATCAGCACTGTGTTGAACAAAAAAACTGTTTACTATCACTTAACACTGGGAGCTTTCATGTAAAGATTCAGATTTCTGACCTCCTCTTGCATATTTACAGTCTGATAGGTCTGAGTTACAGTTGCTCATTTTCACAAGCCAGCAGTTTCCTGGAACTGAGGACCGTCTGCTCCATGGAGAGAGGGCGTACCTCAGATTTCCCACGGCACCACCGACAGCCCCGGGTGAAGTTACCCGCCAGGTCCAACAGACCCTCCTCACTAGGAAGAGGAAATAAGTAGCAAAGCAATGAAAGAAACAGCAGTTGGCACTATGCTTTCATTCAATGGGCACCAGATATTTGAGGATGAGAGGAAAGCAAACCAGGGGAAAAAACAGTGAAACAGAGAAGAGCACAAGATAGGACTCTCACTTCCCATTTCAACAGCTATTCATTAAATCGCCAAAACACTTTTTTTTTTTTTTTTTTTTTACATTATGCATGGGTAGGCATTGAATTATGATATTAGCAGAGAGGAGTCGCTCATTTACCACACCTGTATCCCCAGCTATTGCCCTTCTGAAGTACCTCACATGAATGCTTTTCTTGTTTCAAAGAACAGTCTGACACGTTATTATTAAAATGCACATCTTCTGTTTTATTTTTACAAAGGCTGAAGAGATCACTTTAACGATCGGCCAAGCATTTAACCTGGCATACAGGAAATTTCTAGAATCTGGAGGAAAAGACGTTGAGACAAGAAAACAGATCGCAGGGTTACAGAAAAGAGTGAGTAAACTCAGTGTGTTGTTTCACATTTATGTGATGTAAGTACAGGGAAACTTGCATATCATCAAACAGATTTAGAAACCCTGCCATTCACTTTCCCCCACACTGATGGGAACTGCTTTCACTGTGTTCCTATAATTTTTCATTCCTGATCCCCTGCACAGTTTTTAACCATTTTATATTGAATTCCCACAAGAACTTAGTGTTCTCATGTGACTTTGCTTCACTTCCTGATGCTTCTCATGGGGATCAGAGCAGCAGAAGCAGCAGATGCTGGGTAAGTGGTTTCCCATGCAGATCAGATTCCTTTGTAATTAAATTACACCCTTTCTCCATTCTCTTCAAAATCATCATGAGCAAGTTTCACTGTCCTGCGGTCGTCCTCCACGATTATGGGTACAGATTGCACAGTGAAACAAGAAAACACAGAGATGAGGTATTAGGAACATGAATTTTGCACACATGTAAAAACATTTTAAATTTAATGTTTGTCCAGTGACCTAGCATTCTGTATTTCCCAAGCTTTATCAGATAATACATTCAGATTTTAAGTAGTATGCAATCCCATTCATTAATGCAGTTATTATAATAGCTGATAGCTGATATTTTCCAAGAAAACATTTCTGAAGGTTTTTCAATAATTATTTGCTTTTTAGATTCAAGACTTAGAAACAGAAAATACGGAACTTAAAAACAAAGTACAAGATTTGGAAAACCAGTTAAGAATAACCCAGGTATCAACATCTCCAGTAAGTATATAGAATATGTGCATGTTTTCCTTGGAAACAAGATTTCGTGGTGATGAACATGCCTGGATCATCAGCTCTGTGATATTTCTACTAGTACTCAGTGATTTAAAACCACACATGGATAGAGCTGAAAGGTGTTGAACACGGTTAATTAAAATTACCTAGGCAGCTCAGATCAGAGTTGTTTTTCCAGGTTGCTCTTTTCACTTGTTTATTTTTCCTAGAATAATTCAGCCCTCAATTTGTTTTTGTTTTTTCTTTGTGGCATAGTCGTCTTTTTATTCCTATTGATTACTATGTTCTGCGGTTAGACTTAATGACCGAAGCCAATCTACCCTTGGAGTACTGAACTTCATTCTAGAAACTAGACTGTTAGCAAGACCAAATATACTTTCTTATATTACATAGCAAGAGTTCCCCAGGGGAGTGACACAATTATATTTCAGACACTAAAGTGAACGGTAGTCTCAGCAGACAACACTCAAAGTCTGTAGTTAAATTATTTACTTTTGGTTTCTCATAAATTTTAAATTCTTTCCTCAGAACCATGTATGCTACCATTATTTTGTGATTTTGGCTAAGGGACATTTTTGGAGGAAGATGGAATATAAAACAATATGTTTTTCTACGCAAAGTATATTTAGGATATTTTTTTCTTTTGAAGCATTTGTACTAATGACATTCTGCACTGAAGTATATATTTTATTTTGTGTTTTAAAAATATATAATATATAATATATGGCACATACTATGAATTGAAACACAAGGCATTTGCAAACTTTTGAAAAGAATTTTTGTTGCAAATTTTTATTTGCAAGTTCATTTTGCTTCAGTCACTAAGCTAACTCAATGAACACTTTGTAGCATATATGCATATATTTTGCCATCTAGTACTAGTATATCTCACCAGTTCATCATCATGAAGAATGCTTTTATGAGAAGTTATATTTAAGGTATCAAATTTGGTGTGCCCTGGAAGTAGGTAAAAAAAATTTTCCCCTCAATACTCACACTTTCCCTTCTTCCACACACAGCAGTTGGTGTTTCCATTGCTTGGCATATACTTTGTGACTGTGGGGCTAATATGGCCGAGGTGAGAGAGGATAGGAGTGTGGTAGCTATGTTCCCATGAACCTTTGTTACGCACAGTGAGGTGCTGGAGCATCCTCTTCAGGTTCTGGCTTATTATAATATTCCTTAATATTTTTTTCTCTTCACTGATATTACTATTTGCTTCTCATCAAGGGTATGATTTTTTCGCCTCCCCATTTTACTAATTTATTTTGGTATTAAATTTAGTGGGGTGACACTGGTTTCAGGTGCATGATTCTACAACAGATCAACTGTACGCTGTGTTGTGTGTTCACCACCCCAAGTCAAGTCTCCGTCCATCACCGTTTATCCCCCTATACCCTCTTCCACCTTCCCCTACTCCTCCTTCCTCCTGGCAATCACCACCCTGTTGTCCATGTCCATGAATTTTTTCTTTTGGCTCAATCCCTTCACCCCCTGCCACCCATTCCCACCCACTACAGCTGTCAATCTGCTCTCTATCAATGAGCCTGTCTCTATTTTGCCTGTTAGTTTATTTTGTTCACTAGATTCCACATAGGAGTGAAATCATATGGTACTTGTCTTTCTCTGACTGGTATTTCACTTGGCATAATGCTCTCCAGGTCCATCCATTCTGTTGCAAAGGGTAAGATTTCCTTCTTTTTTACAGCCAAGTAGTATTCCATTGTGTAAATGTACCGTAGCTTTTTTATCCACTCATCTACTGATGGACACTGGGCTCCTTCCAAATCTTAGCTATTGTAAATAATGCTGCAATGAATATAGGGGTGCATATATTCTTTCGAATTAGTCTTTCAGGTTCTTTGGATACATTCACAGAAGTGGAATCACTGGGTCACAAGGCAGTTCCCTTTTGAATTTTTTTTGCCTCCCCCATTTTAAAGAAATAGAGAGCATCAGCTCAAACTCCTTCAACTTTTGGTCCCCAAATAAATACTTTTTTGGGTCTTGTTGAAAGTCATATTATAAATCATCCTGTGAAACAAATTAGTTGTCTAAAGATACATGAAAGGGAAGTTACTTTTTCAACTAGTCTAAATGAGGTTCTTTAAAAGCATATGAAAACTAGCTTTAGTCCAGTTTTTGTGTTTACAAAGAAGTAAAATAAGACCCATCACCATTTGATGCAAATGCAAAGCTTTTTGTTGTGCATCCTCTGTCCCTAGGAGGAGAACTAAGGGTATCATGTTCAGGGCCAGGCGGACTGGGAGGAGCAGAGGAGTTTGGGGCATGTGGATAAAAAAACCCACTTCCCTCTTTTATTTCCTGAAAGCAGACACTGCCCTGGACAAGAGCGAGGGCAACTGAAAAGAAGGTGGGTCAGGTGTGGGGTTTTCTCGTGGCTACTAAGTCAGCTTCATAAATGGCAAGGGGCAAGAGGGATGAAGAAATGACACATACGTTTCTGTGACCCTCTGGCTGAGATGGCCGGGGGCATGAATGTTAGTATGTAAATGAACACAGACTGTCTGCGAGGATACTAATTTATTCAGCACTTTTCATTGGTAGAGTCAACAACACAATTATTCATATAGCCAGTTATTAAAAACGGATTAACTCTCCTGAAGTTGTTTAATAATTTTTATAGGCACTGTGTTCATCTTAGTACTGAATGTATCTCAACAGAATGCTTCAAAGACTATAACTAAAAGATTAAATTAAAAAAGAAATCATTTTCTCTAAATCACTCTTTTGCACTTAAAACACATGTAGAAAATATATTGCATCATTGATCATTATGCAGATTATACAAATTATAATTACATTCTTTAATCACAATAATATCTTTCTCTGTATTTTTCTTTATTTTAACTTCTAAGAAGCTACTTGTCTCATTTCTCAGGCTCCTAAAGTCCTATTACATAATTTTTGAAGTTGCTGATAAAATGGACAATGTACATCTTCTTTAAGATAGAACTAGAAGTATTTAATTCTTATAAGAAAATGAAGTCAACATTTAAAAATTCCTAAAAGATATATAATTAGCTCAAATATTTTTGAAAATATTATAGGTATTTGTTAACATGTTTTAAAAAGTTTTTTTGAAGAGAATGTCACCAAATACTTTTGCCTTTCGTTTTCAGTTTTAGTTATGTAGCTGTGAAATAAATTACTATAACACTAAGTGCATCTGTATTTACTTCACAAGTCTTAAAATGAAATCCCAATTTTATGATATTAAAAATAAACTAAAATACCTAAAATTATTTAATAAGCATGCTATGTTGACATGCTTGTAAATAATCCACTCTTCTGAAGGTTTGTTAATAATTCAAGCTATTGACATTTAATTTCAAAAACAATGAATATTATAAATAATTAAAATACAAGTTTAATTATAGGTACCCCATTGTTAAATAGTTTGCAGTGGGTATGCAATGAAGGAGGTTTCTGTTCAGTTAGACGTTTTACATCTGTTCTCAGGACGTTAGAGCATTAGTTTTACAGGACACACTACCGGGCCACCAAGCACCTCCGAGTGCCAGCCGGTCCAGCAAAGTTAATGCGCAGTAAATTTCATTGGCGTATAACTCTGCAAGTGAGACTCTCTATATTGTTTGATTGTTTGCTTGTTTCTTTTGCTCTCAGAGGACTGAAGGATAGAATACTTCAAAATTACTAATGTTCTCAGCAGTTTGTTTAATAGAAGAAGCTTTGAGGAGAATTATGAATCCTATCATGCATATTGAAATTACACTCTCGATGTGTTAGGTATACACAGTTAATTTGGTGTCAGATTCTCCCTGAGCTGTCAGTGTGTTATGAGGAGAGGAACCCTTGAGACAGATGACCAGCCCTCAATCCAATGGGAGTCAAATTTTCCTAAGTCACACAGAGGTAGCTCTTTTGCCATATTATACACTCTAATTTAGAAGTGATTCTCTATAAATAATTTAACATTATAATTTGGTTAATAAAAATAAATATATAAAAAAAAAATTTCTGAACTATCAGGATTTTCTAGTCACACACAATTATTTTACATAAAACAATGGCTAGTCAAAATAAAATATCTATCGATAATGTTAGCTTTAAAGTAGTCTTTTTGGGAAGAGGGAAAGAAGAGAACAAATTAGGAATGGAATTTTAGGTGGTTTGGGGCATTGAAAGTAATGTAGAAAATGAAAATAATGTAAATTACTGGTATGGATGTTGTTCTTATAGTGCGTGATGAAGTATCAGATACAGTCAGTTATGGGAAACATCAGAAAAATAAGAAATATTTTTGGTAAAATTTTATTAGATGACTAAAAATCACAAGCCCTCTTTCCTAGCAAGAGGTCCAACATTTAGGTTGAATTTCTGTAACACAGAACAATGGTTCAAAAGAATCAGATCTTCTAGTACAAAATTTTGGCCTTACTTAAAAGTGTTGATTCTTTCATTCTATATTAAATCATAGCTTAAAAGGGGGAGGCCCTGTCAGTAGAATGTTCCGAGTAGAAATCCTTTGCATTTTAAGGAGTCACTGTGTCTATGGAAACACAGGTGCATTTCTGTCCTCTCCTCCGAGACACGCTCAGGAAAGGTTGCTAGTGTCAGCCATTTATGTGTAATCTACATCTGTGAATTGGTCAAGCAGATTTGGTTTGAAGATGCAAACTAAGTAATTTTAGGTTTAAACTTTTAATGAAAATCTTCAAGAATTCTATGTTTTATTTATTTTTTTTATTCTTACCCGAGGACATTTTTCCATTTTTTGTTCAGGTAGAGTGGGATGGGGAGAGAGAGAGAGAGAGAGAAACATCAACGTGAAAGGGACACATCGAGTGGCTGCCACCCGCACGACCAACCAGGGCTGGGGACAAACTGCAACCAAGGTACATGCCCTTGGCGGGAACCGAACCCGGGTCTCTCTAGACTGCAGGCTGATGCTCTAACCGCTGAGCCAAACCAGCCAGGGCTCTTCAAGAATTCTAAAAAGT